CCTACACGATGCGAAGCATTTTCTGGAAGAGTATCGGGAGTATCAGGAATCCAATACACCAGCATCAAGTAGTCTGGTTCAGCATGATGATATCTAAATCCTTCCTACACAACTTATAAAATATTACTATAAAGTTTATGAAAAAGCACTAGGTGCTGCTGGAAAGATGTGCTTAATTACCTGAACTAGAGGTTCAACAAGACTAACAAGTCCAATAGGCAATTTGATCCATACACCCTTTTTCCCCTGAAAGGAGTGCCACGAAATGAAAAATACTGTGTCATGTAAGTGGAGATTAAATTATCATCGAGTGAAGTGAGAGTAAAGGGAAAACATAAAAGACTAATGAACACTAAAGAAGAATTACTTGTTGCCTCCATTTTACTATGGATGCTCTGAGTGAAGGGATAAATTCTGTAGAGTCCACAGATTCTTTCATTTCTATTACAATTCCTTCATACAAATCCTCAACTGCATTGAGTAATCCAACATGCTCGACTCTACTTTCAGCTTCAATTTGCTCCTTAATAGACAATGAACTTGTTGAAGCTGGAATTTTCCCGGTCGAAAAGAAAGCCTTGAAATGACTGCTACCTGAAGGAACGGAAAATCAGCTGCTAAATAGTACTTGAGTAGAAAAAACGAAGAACATTATTAACACCTTCCAATTCTCAGAAAGAGAAAGTAGAACAATTATAGAAGCTAATCAATGTTGTTTATGCAGACCTAAGCATACAAAAAGGCTTTCCTGTTCGAGCATTATGGAAGGTATGTAAAACAAATCTATTCAATGTGAAGTGATCTGTTTCTAGCTCACCAAAATATGGAAAAGTAACTAAAACAAGTCCTAAAACTCCTAATTAACAAGGCAAAACGTATCTCACTCATTGTGAAGATGAAGAGAATGGCATGAAGAAGCGCCTGCATTCAACCCGTTTAACCATTAGCTTTTGTATATGTGTCTTAAGAAGAGAAAAAGGAATGTCTAGAGGAAAAAGACGTTCTGAGAACCTGATAAACTTTTCATTTCAATTCATTGAACAACAGAGTAGGAGTCATCGGAAAGCCAGAGTTCAAATACCTTTCGAAAATCCATGACAAGAAGATGGAGATAATAGGGTGGTGCACAGACGAGGCCTATTTGGAGGTAGAGAAACTGGTGACGGGCAGTTCTTGCTCGGAAGAAGAAACACTAGTTTGCGATACCTGATTCTGATCATCTGCTTATCCTTAATGTTAACCCAAATATTATTGCTAATATACAGCATTTGCAGGTTCGAGCTGCTTTCGATGGCTTCCACCTTACTTCACGAAAGAGATCTCTATTTCTCTGAATTTTCGGATTCTTTTATATTGCATGTATGGCGCCTGAAAACTTCGTGGGGTTGGGGTTCATCAGGCTGACCAGGATACTTTGAATGGTAAATCTTTCTTAATCTTGACCAAAAATTCTTGACACGGTTTTGTACTGTAGTATAGACCGCTACGTGCAAAAGGGTTTTGAAAATAACAGCTTGGATGCTTCATACAAACTGCTTTCCCAGTTCATTTCCTTCCACCTTCCTCTCACTGTCCCTGTAATGAAGGAAAGAGAGGGAAAACAAAAATAGTTTTGTGAGTGAAATACGGTGCCAACTTTTTACATGATGAACTTGCTGACAGTAAGTAAATATTAACTTTCTTTTCTGTATGTTTTGGTTTAGAAATATAACTAAATCATTTATCCTTGTCGATTTTCTCGGATCAATTTCTTTTTTAAT